TGATAGGAATTTATCTGTAGGTAAAATTATGCACTGAATCGTTTCTAGGGGAAAATCCCCTAGGATTTTTGATATACATGATTTCTAAAATTTTCAATTTATACATACCTTTTAAGGAATACATCTATTGCTCTTCTATTTTCATATGTAGATATTAATAAAGCCTTTTCACAAAATGTAATAATCTACTTAACTCTGGAAGGTTGACAAAACATCTTTTGTTTTTAAGTTAAGAAAAATCGGCTGGGTGCGGCGGTTCACGCTTGTAATCCCAACACTTTGGGAGGCCGAGGCAGGCGGATCATAAGGTCAGGAATTTGAGACCAGTCTGGCTAATATGGTGAAACTCCATCTCTAATAAAAAAATACACACACACAAAAATTAGCTGAGTGTGGTGGCAGGCACCTGTAGTCCCAGCTACTAGGGAGGCTGAGGCAGGAGAATTGCTTGAACTCAGGAGGCGGAGGTTGCAGTGAGCCAAGATCATGCCACTGCACTCTTGTCTGGGCAACAGAGAGAATTTTTCTCAAAAAATCAAAAGAAAGAAAAATCATTAATATTTTTCCTTAGACTGATTTTATCTCTTTCAAGTTATAAAAAGGGGGAAATTAAGAATGCCATGTGGGCAGGTATATTTGCTACATAGCTTTTAGAAGTGCTCTTCAAATGTGCTCTGTTGATCACATTCCTCAGAACCATCAAGGGAGCATGTGAATAGCCAGACTCTATCCTCCTGACCTGGACTGTCCACAGGTGAGCTATTTTACTTTTCACTTTAGATTTTGTTTTATTATGTTTTTAATTGTGTGTGTGGTTGTTGCTGTTTTTTATTAAAGGGCATATATTACATCAGTAACTCATGTAATTTTAAATGCATATGCCTGGCGCCATTGTAGGACCACCAAGTCACAATGATCTCTGAAAATATGCTAATAATTGGTCATTTTAAAACAACATCCCAGGAACAACTACTACAAAGGCTTTCCAGATGATTCTAACAACCAGCCAGATTGGGAACCACTAGTCTAACAAAGTATATACCTTAGGAAATTTTAATACCTTCAATTTTATATCCTTACTTGGAAGTCAAAATATTCGTACAGTTTTATAACCATTCAGAAAACAAAATATATACCATGATGTAAAAACTAGGAAGTATGCTAATTTCCAATATCACAGTCTTTTTCAGAACAAGATTTTTGTTCTTCTGCTAGGAAAATTATTAATACTTCCAACTGACTTTAGGTTCTAATTTCATGTAAAGTGTATCAGACTGCAAATACAACATCCTTCAAGCAACTGTTTTAGTACAGTACTTATTGCACTCTACCGATCTTGATTTATAAAATGAACCAATGATTTGAAGTAGAAAGACTGATAATGAACTATTTCACATCATAACCTGTGAGTCCCAGAAACTTAGTGCCTTTCATATTTGTACTGGTTTCTCATGAATATCTCTGAGTTGAACTAAACCTAGTGGCTGATTCTGTTCTTCATCTTTTATCAGTTTTTCCTGATAAAAGCTTGTTTTTCCTGATAAAAAAAACTTGAATAAAAACAACCTTTGAAGTGAATAAACATATTGCTGCTCTAAATAGCCAGAGTAACAATCCATGTAATTCTTGATCCACCACTTACTAGCTGAATGAGATTAAGCTAGGTAAGTTTTCAGTATCTGCTTCCTCACCTGTAAAATGGGATAATAATAATAAAATTAAATTGATAGAGGTGTTATAAGAAGTAAAAGAATGAAAAACAGGTAAACAGCCTGGAAAGTGCATAATATATAGTAATTCTGAGCAATAAGCTTTTTTATCTATTCTTCTGAGCGCTCAGGAGATAAAGTCATAGTCTTAGCAATTAAAAGTCACAGTTTGAATGTGGATTTGACTTTAAAGTTTGTGTTTTTTTTTAGTTAGTATCCCACCTCTCTTGATTCAGGCATTTATCCAACACCTTTTAACTCAATGCCATATGGGTATAAAACACTAGTCTAGGCACAGTACAAGTTAAAGGATAAAAAAAAAAGACACCTTGCCTGTAGATTATTCTGGAAAAGAATATGAGAAATGCACATAAATATGAGAGTCAGTGTGAGAAGAGGCAAGTACATGAGAATTTTGAGGAGACAATAAATAGTTAATTCCAGTTGATAGAAGGTGGTACAAGGCTGACGGTGGGGGATCAGAAAGTCACCATCATGGTGTAGGAATCAAGACAGCTCCACAAATGGTGCCAACTCAGCAAGGGCCAGCAACACTGGAAGAATTTGACCTCATGGGGAAGCTTCTGGCTACACACACTCTAAGGTCTCTTCCTACTGGAATGCTGTTCAAGATGAAGGTTCTCTGAAACATTATCACCAAATATCCACATCTATAAACATCCGAGTTTTCTGATCCTCTGGATCCTGAAGACAACAGTTGAAATAAATAATTCAAATGTGTGAGCTTATAATTCCATAAAGCTGTGTCAGGGAGACGGCATCCCACAGTTTGACAGCAAGAGCTCTGCACTCCAATCTGGCTAAGGTTACTTATGGAGAAAAGATAGCACTGCTACCTAATGATAACTATGTAGCCATGGAGAGAAAAAATATGTTGGCGTCTGCCCAAATCCCAGTAAGCAGATGGCCATGGGCACAGAAACCATCATGACAACTGGCACCTCTTTGGGATGCTCTGAGCAGGAAAGGGGCCCGGAAAATGTCCTTCTTTGGCTGTCCTTCCTTCAGAGGCATATGGGTGGCACAGGATGGGGAAAATTGCCTGACTGCTGCCAAGGGGAGCAGAGATAGCCTTTAAAATCTAGGCTACCGCAGCTTCCTAGGTAGTCAATCTGGTACCTTTCAGCAACCAGAGACCATCTTAAAAATGCGTGTGCTGATTTCCTCTAGGACAATTGATATCCAACAGATTCCATTCACAGTTGGCTCACAGGATAATAAGCAGCTAAGCTCCAAGAGGATGGAAGGGTGTGAGTCCTCTATAGCCAGGCCTCATATGTCAGATGAATGGTACAGGATTGTTTTATCTGTGTTTTTATTCTTAACCAGGTGGTTATAGATAACCAAGAGCACGTGTGTATTCCAAAGTTAAGAACCACTGGATGACTAGATTTTTTAGCTGGTTGAAGGGTCACCATCAGTAACAATCAGCTTTGCAGAGGGTTGCTCGTTTGGAATTTTTAAAAGTTGAAGAAGATCCATTTTTCTGAAATGTATCATCTTGTCCTATTTATGATATTGCCTAACATTTCAAGCAACTACATTAACCAATTGGCATTAAAACATTTCTCTACTATGTCACAACAGATATACACAACCCCCCACCCCCGCCCCACACACATACATGCTCATGCACTTCTTAGTCTTCATTTGCCTTTGAGTAAACTTCTTTGAATCAACAGCAAATAAAATACAATGTCAAACTGCTAGCCTGTATCCCAAGAAATAGCAAATGAATTTCAGTAACAAGGACATCTGACTCTCAAAAATCACTCTAATATAAGATAGATATTATTACCATATGAATTGCATTTGCATAACATTTGACTACTTTTCACTCTTAAATCAGTTTTAAATATAGTGGAGAACTACCCATCCCGGAAAAAAAAGAAAAACACACACACACACACACACACACACAAAATGTCACAACAGCCAGTGCATTCAAGATCCCTTTGACTTATATCATTCCTAAATAAATTACATAAACTGTGTTGTTTTATAAAGACAGATTTTTAGAGTGGCAAACCCTAGTTATTTCAGTTGTCTTAGAAATTCAAATAGTTTAGAAGTAAAGATTTCTGATTATTCAATAGTCTACTCACATCAACCAGAAAATGGCCAGTTTAGAGGAGTTTGATCACATCTTTGGTCAAGACAGAGAAGCCATAACCAGCTACTGGCTGCAGATATTATTATGTTATTTGATAATAACAAGTAACATTTGGTCATATATACCTTTATGAAGTATTATGTAGAGTAATAGCTTAGTTAATGATGACAATACCATGATCAGGGAACATAATAATAATATGCAATTCACTTAAATTGAGATTGTGAAAGACTATCCCAAAAATATAAGTAGTTAGCATGCAACTAAAATAAATGGTAAGGGATTGGAATAAGTGCGGAGGAAGTTGGGTTGCGAAATAAAAAGTAAACACACACTTACATTTACATATAACTATCACTTTCCACAATTCCACCTGGATTCCAAACTATGTAATCCAAAGTTGTTCCCACAAGAAAGCAATTAAACTTGTTAATTAAGGTACTCTTCTCATTTCCGTGGTGGAGAAGGGACTTTATTCTTAAGGAGGTAACTATTCAACTCTATCCCCTTACTGATCTCTTCTCAAAGAATAGCTTGTGACCACTCAGGCATGACCTAGGGCCTTGGTTCTAATGCTCTCCCTGACTGTGCCAGTAGGTTGTAAGGGAGTCCGTGGTCTTCCATGGGACTGACCTATGGTAGCCTGTGCAGACACAACTTTTCCTATGGGCAACCCCTAAATTGTTGAATGGATAGGAAAATGAGTGATTATGTCTCAGAGTCGATCTTTTCATATTTTTTAAGATTAACTACAACTTTCTCTCCACCCCTGTAAACTTAATGGAACCAAGAAATAGACGCCAAGCTGTTGGCTTAACCTTTGATTTCACTCACCTTTTCTTCGACAACCAATGCCACAAAGTTAGTTGATGTAAAATGGGGTTTGTGCCTAAATTGAGCAGAGAAATCTGATCCACAATGTGTTGGGTTAAGTTTGGGCTCATTCCAATATGACCCATTTAACATATTCTTTGATTTTAAATCAAGCCCAACTTCTCAGGAGAGCTGTCTGAGTAAAATAAAATGCTCCTCAGAGGAAGCATGAAAAGTCATTGCAAGTAAACTCTCACCCAAGTAAACACAGAACATGCTCTAAAGAAATGCTACCCGATGTTAAAACACAATTAGCTTACAATGTAGCATTTAAACATGAATACCTCCAGCCAAGATCCTCTCTTCCAACTCCGCCATTTGTTTTTTATAGGCCCTTAAAGCTGCTTCTTTGAAAGAAGGACGAATTCTCTTTGGCTTTGTGATCTCCACTGGCTGTTCAGGAATGTTTTGGTTTTCATCTTCTCTTATTTCCATCTCAGCTGATGTTTCATTTAAGGGTTCTAATCCCTCTTCACTAACCATATCATCTGCCGGACCATCATAACCCTCATCTTGTGGAGTTTCATAAGGTGTTTCATATAAAAGGTGATCATATTCTTGCATTTGTTCATCTGTTTCAGTAATACTAGTCCTGTTTTCTAGTTTAGCAAGGACTTGTTCCATCACTTCAACATAATCTGTTTCATTATCAGCCACTGGTTCAGTATAATCCTCCTCATCCTCTGCTTTATAGTAATAGGGCTCCGTGTAGACATCAGAGTCAAGTGTGGTACTTGACTCATTTGCAGTTGATTGAGATAATGTCCGAAATCTCCCCATTAATGAAGAGCCACTGTCCTCATACCCACTCAGACTCTGTGTGCTTTTGTTCCATACTACTTCCAAGGCTGATTTAGCCCTCTGCAATGTAGATCCAAATTTTGGAAAGCTGAAAGTCTTATCAGAAAGGTCGATGCTTAATCGACTATGCCATGATTTGGGTGGGGCATCCTCTGAATCATCACTTTGCAATTCACTTTGACTTCCATACATCATGGACAACTGGTTTTGATTTTGGTAAAGCTCATTAGAATTAGCTCCCTGATAAGAATCATATTGGCCAACCCATTGGCCTTGTGGTTCATTATCCAAGCCAGGGCATGGAGAAGAGTTGTCATCTTGAGTTAAGTCGTAGCTCTCTGAGTCATCTTGAAGATCACTGTGGCACTTTCCCAAGTATTCTAGGTCTTTATTGTAAACACCCAGCTGTTGCTCAGAAAGACTATTTGTTTCATAATCAAAACCTTCCTGGGTGGATGAATCCAAGCCTAAATCAGCTCCTTGCTCTACTTGATTCCATTCCTTCCATGGAGAAAGATCCTCATGTAAAGAGAGCTGAGAATCACTGTAATGACTCCGGTCTCCAGATGCACACACCATGCCATTACTCATTCCACTATCCACAGTTTCTGTGTTTTCAATTTCAGTCTGCCCTTGGATACCCTGAACACTTCCATTCAAATGCTGGTCCTTGGGACTGTCATACAGGGTCGCTGTTCCTTCCTGTTTCCTTTGCCATAGCTCCCGGTCCGAAGATGACAGGAGAGAGCTTCCATTAGTTCTAGTGAAAAACTGATTTTCTGAAAAATCCTCTGAGTAAGACTGACACAATTTGGAAAAATCTGATTCAGAACGACTAAGTTTAGCAGTGAAAAAATCACTCTGTGAGTGCCAGAGAGGTGTTGCATCTGCATAATGGGTTGTGGTTTGCTTTTCCAAGATATCTGATTCTGGCAACTGTGAGGAGATTTTATCATAATCTGATTTATTTGAAATTCTGCTGCTATTAGCAGTTTTATTCTTGGATCTAGCACTGTGTGATTTTGAGCTTGGCTTGGAAGTACTTCCCTTTGTTGGAAGCTCTGACTTGGAAAGCACAGCGTAACTGTTTCTATTGAGGTCAGATTCAAGATCTTCATCACTGTCATCAGGTGACTGCCAATTGTTCTTGATTTTTGGCTCTGGAGTAGACAACTTCATATCCATACTCTCATATGTCTGGGAGGATGGTATCCCTTTCTCTTTTCTTTCTCTGATGTCATGAGTTAGAATATCTGTTGAAATTCCAATGCCTGTTCCTTTGAGTTTATATGATTTTTTTAAGACAGAATCCCTTTGCTGAGGGGTTTCAAAGTACACAAGTATGGGTCGAGGCTTTGCATTTGGACAGTCCCTCTGGTGTCCTATCCTCTGAGCAAATTCAATTTTAATAGCATTTGGTGCATCTGAAAAACCCATTTTATCTATTAGAATTTGGTACACCACACTTTCAACATATTCAAATCTGTCTTCAGGCACATTTAAAAATCTCAGGCTTGCCTTGCTACCCATATGACCTAAGTGCTTAATATAATCATGGATGTCTCTAGTTTCCCTCCGGGACTGGACAAACCCTGTACGTAGCTGCTCAATTTCACTTTGTACAACCTCCACACTGCTAGAGATCTCATCGATGGAGTGCTTGAGAGCATTGACATGCCCTCGTAGTTCAGAAAGTTCTGTTTCAATCTGACTTATTCCCTGAAGTTCCTTAAAGATCATTTCCATGACATCATGTGTCTGGCTAATGCAGCCAGAGGAACTGAACCCTGGTTCCAGGGCATTTGTCTTTGGGTTTCGGATAGTTCTGTCCAAAGACTTGCTTCTTATTCCCCAGGATTTTTTCATGGTGCTTAACTCGGAGTCTGAGGAGACACACTCTTGACTCTTTTTCCATTTTCTCAGTTTTCGTAAAGCCCCCAGTTTTAAGCTATGTAGAGTACGCTCCCCATCAGAGCTGCCCTCAGAGGGTGCAAGGCTGCTCGAACTCTTTCTGTTGCGTCTAACTGGCATTGTGTGTGTTGATTGTGCCTGGTTTTCTGTGCTACTCCTTAGTTCATTTAATGATTCTGAGTAGGAACTCTCAATTGAAGACAGCTCTTGAAGCAGATCCTCATGGTCACTGTTGGTTACTTTAGTATTCTTTTGTAGGCCATTGGCAATAGCTACTCGGTAACTGAATGTTGGCGAGAGGGAAAACTCTTTACTAGCCTCGTCTTCCTTGGTGGATAAGTTGTGAGTAGATGAACACTTCGCAATCTTCTTTACAGTGCTTTTAAAGGTATAAGAAAATTTGGGGGATTTGGTCTGGCCAGCAGTAGGAAAGTCTTGATCCTTTCTCTGCTGACGATACTCTTTTTTTTTGTTTGTATTTCCCAATTTCTTTGTAAACATTCCTTTGCAAAGCTTATGAATGTAAGGTAAAATCAAGCTCTTGAAAAAATTAGCCACCATGGAGAGCAATTAGTGCAAGCTTTTCTGTCCCAGAAAAGTAAACAAGTATCAGGATGAAAATCTGAAAATCCAAGGCAAGCATCACTGTTCAGATGTTCTGTGAATCACTGAAAAGAGCAGGAAGGGCAGGCGTGGCTCTGCCACATTGTCGCTGTCCTGTGCAAACCGGAAGCAAAGCTCCATCTATGAAAGACATTCTTTCCTGGAGGAGGGGTTTCATGAATCTCTGTCATTTCCACACAACTCCATGTAGTGTCTACAAAGAAATGAATGTTAAATATCAGAATTCAATTCTAGATTTATTCCATTTCCAACATGTTTCAAAAGTATTCGTAATACACAACGTGTGAAAAATTGCAGAGGAGGTGGGAGCATACATGAATTTCAATGTAAATTTACTTTTAAAATAATTACTTAAAGCAAATCACTACCAATAACTATGTTTATAATGTTTTTTGATAAATCATTCATGGGTGGGCACAACTGAAATAGTAATAAAAGGTAATAATGATTATTTAGAAAACATTGAGTAATATGACAGGCAACTTATGCAGACATATTAACTTCATAAAGTCATTTCTACTTTACTTTCTTTCCTAATAACATGTTTACTTAAACAAATATAAGAATTTAAATCTAAATATATTTCCTTCACATCCCAGGTATTCAAAATTCACAAATTAATATTATCTCTATATATAAAACCTGTTTTTATTCATTCAAATAATCTTTTTCTGACCACACAAATAAGTAATCTCTATGATGACTAGTTTCTTGAATTGTGTGAAGAAAAAGAAAATAAAGTTAATATTTAATTTTGCTGGTTTGCCAGCACAAGGCCTTATATGTAGTAGGAATTCAACGTTTCATTGACTCGAACTTACTATTTTATCAGTGAAATGTAACCCAGAATAATAGTAACAGTCAAAAGGCTTTGTTGGTATTCCAGTATGTGTTTGGGTAGATAATCTATTTTATTCATTAAAGAACACATCATAAACTACAGATTGTCTCAGAAATCTGCTCTTTTATCAGCTCTCTCCACTTGGAAATCTGCCAGTTTCACTTCAATCAGGCTCTACAGGGGATTTCAGAATACATGCTCTGGCCAGGAGCCCAGCTTCACAAGAGAGAGGGAAGCATAAGTGAAAAGAGGAGGAGAAAAGATGGAGTGAAAGAGATGAACTCTAAAGAAGCCCAAGTCTTTCTAGATTTCAAATACTATCAGAGTATCACTCTTCTGCTCTGAAACAATTTGGTATTCATTCACAAACACAAACCAGGACCTATTGTCTACTAATAAAAACGTTAAGAAATTTACTTTTGAGTTAAATTTAAAAAGCATTTTTTTACTCCTATGGGACATCTCCTTGTGAAGAAAGGGCTTTGGAAAGTTAAGCTGCAATAGGGTAGATAAATTATTTTTAAACCAATTTTGGTCAAATAAAATTTTCTACCAATCACTCAATCCAAAATCCTTGGTCTTCCAAACTTAGAAACAAATGCTTTCTTTTGTTTAAATCAAAGTAGCAATTCTGTTAACGCCTCTAATGTTTTCAAATCTAAATTTCCTGACTGGCATTACTGGTTCAAAGCTACTGTTCTAGGCAATAATTGTTAGAAAACGTTTGAGTGGGAAAGTTCAATGGGAAATGAAACCCACCAAATGCAAACTCAGGAACAGGTGTCCACAGTTGCACCCACGAACTCACTTGCTCGTGTTCCAACCACAGAGAACAACCTGTTATTCACTAAGGGCTCCATACTCTTTCATGCCTCAGTGACTTTTACATCCTCTCTAGCCAGAATATCATTCATAATCCAGCCCTCACTATCTGTAAAAATTATGTTTAAACTCTAAAACCATTTCAGCAACCACTCCAACGGAGCTCATCTCTCTCCTAGCCACTCTTTATTGAAGAATTGGCACACATTTCAGCCACTTAGTATCTCCACCTAGTTGCCCAAAATTAAACTCCATCCAGAACCTAGCAATTTTCATGAATTACTAATCTCAATAATGTCATCATAATTATCCACTTGCCCACAGCATATACCCAGGAGTCATTCTAGACCATGTGTCATCCATCCCATGTACATACCTGAGGTGACATAGTCTTGCCTTAGTTCTGAACTCTGTCATTTCTCATCTGGACCATGACAGTTGTATCCTATGTGGTCCTCCTAATGATAATTTGACTCTTTTTTCAAATCCTAAATTTCTAAAATTAATACAATTGAAAATATATAAGTCTTCCTTCTTGAAACACTATTTTAGCAGTCTTATTTTCTGTCACTCCCATAAGCACATCTGTCTCAGTCATAGTGAAGTAATAGCAGTTCCCTGATTACCATATTTTTACCCCACTAAAGGGCCTTTTTCCATGCTATTCCTTCTTCCTCCAATTATTTTCCCCTTCCCTTCTCTATTCTATGTCTCTTTCATAAATATCTATAGAATACCTATACATTTGACACCCAGCCAAGGATCAACATCAGCTCATTAGACCTCCTCAGAGTACAGCACTTCCTCCTCTGTGCTCCTGCAATGTACTCTCAAAATACCATAATTATGTATGTCAAATATTTTATCTGTATGTCTGCCTCTCCTATCTGACTGTAAACTCTTGAAGAGCAGGAGCTGTGTTCTAATTAACTTTAAATTTTTGTATTCCTTGATACATAAGAGACTCATACTGTTTTTCAGATAGGTGATTATATAAATGAATGAAAGTAGGAAACCCATGAACTAATACATAAACAATATAGGTTCCAATAAGCCTAAAGTGGCTGCACTGGGCCTTACACAATCCAGAGAAGGAGAAGCAGTGTGAGCAGAAGAGAAGCATCTGAGACATTCATGTCATGTGCAAAGATGGAGAAGCATCCACGTTATCCAGAGAGGGATGCCTCTGATGGGGAGCAGAAGACTGACAAAATAGAATCAGAAGGTAGACAGTTTTGAAATTTAAGAAGTCCCATTTGAGGAGGAGGCACTAATGGTTATTGGCTTTCAGCACAGTCCCTTGATCCAGATTACCTGCATTGGAATCCCAACTCTGTGATACACTAGCTGTGTGGTCATAAGAAAGTTACTTCCTTGGGAGGCTGAGGCAGGCGAATCACGAGGTCAGGAATTCGATACCACCCTGGCCAAGATGGCGAAACCCCATCTCTACTAAAAATACAAAAATTAACTGGGTGTGGTGGTGCGTGCCTGTAGCCCCAGCTACTCAGGAGGCTGAGGCAGGAGAATCACTTGAACTCCATCTCTACTAAAAATACAAAAATTAGCCAAGCATGGTGGTGCATGCCTGTAGTCTCTGCTGTTCAGGAGACTGAGGCAGGAGAATCGCTTGAACCCGGGAGGCAGAGGTTGCAGTGAGCTGAGATCACGCCACTGCACTCCAGCCTGGTGACAGAGTGAGACTCCGTCTCAAAAAAAAAAAAAAAAAAAAAAAAAAAAAAAAAAAAAAAAAAAAAAAAGAAAGAAAAAAAGAATAAAAGAAGAAGAAGAAAGTTACTTCCCTACTGCTTTTACTGCTTTATCTTGTACATTAATTATATTGGGACAGAAATAGCATCCCCTCATAGGATAGTTGTAAGGTTTAAATAAGTTAATACATGTAAATTTTTGGAGCAATGTCTAGAAGATAGCAAAGCCCAGTACATGTTGGTTATTACTAGTACTGAGAAGAGTAGTGAAAAGCTTCAAGTAGCAATCACAGAAGACTAATCAGGTGGTACCTGATGTGAAAATTATGATATAGTGGGGGGCAACCTAAGAATTCTGCTAGGTTGGAAAATGAAAGAGGAAGAACAAAGACATTCTAAAGAAACAGTCAGAAGTGAAAGAGAAGATACTTTTATCTCTATGGTTCAGCAACAATTTCCTAATGTTGAAATCTCACCTTCCTAGTTACTGAGCTCCTACGGTATGTGTGTGTGATACAATCCCATCATAAAACCATAGATGTCTTAGGGAAAGATTCGGTGAGTTCAAAATACCGGCTGTGGCACTTCCTTCAGACAAGTGACTGAGATAGGAAAGGAAGATGACATTTAATGGTCACCTGTTATGTTTCAGAAACTTAAATTATCTCTGTAATCCTCACAGAAACTCTTTAAAGAAGGCATCATTATGCCTATTATACGAGGATATAACAGATTCAAAGAGATAAAGAGATACAGCCAAAAACAGCACCGATAAATAAAGTAAGAAGGTAGTTTGGTCCTAGTTCTGGAGTCTATGAAACAATCATTTGTATGTAAAGTGAATGTAACCAGTGGTAACTGACACAAGCCCTTATACCCATCCCATACAAACCCACATACCTACTCCTCTCTCTGAAGTTCTTTGTTTTAAAGGAAAATGGCTCAAATCAGGAAAAACTCAAGGTGGATGAGAGGTAGCTGGAAGGTGAACGCTAAGATAACATCATCTCATCTTAACTACTTGAATTCCAAAGCTCCAACTTACTCTCCAGATATTTTAACTGTAGTTACATAACCATATATTATCTTCGGTAATGAACTTTAGGGATAAGATTTAAGACTTTGGAAAGAAAACCTTTGAGAGAGATTAAAACAATAGACTATGTTGTTATGGGAAGCCTTCGTAATAACATTCAATCATTATTTACTATGTACCAAGCACTGTGTATGCAATTTTCTAAAGTTTATCTCATTTCGTTCTCACAATAATTGTATAAAATAAGTATTTTCATTTTCCAGATAAAGTGACTTAAGGTTTAGAGTTTCTGAAAACTTGCTTAAGGTCATGCAATTAACATGAAACACAGTCTTGACTCCAAGCCCCAGATTTGAACAGGAAGTGTGTAAACTCTGAAATTAATATTAGTGTTTAATGGGAAATATGGTTTGCAGATATGTTAACATATTCATTTTTAAGAGAACTATTTAATATGACTCTAAAAGTTAGATACCCTAGTGGACTAAAGGAGATAATGAACTTTTAAACAGTCAAAAATTTATTGCTAAATCATCACCAGAATTAAGCTAAAGCATTTTCAGATCAACAAACAATTTTATGTTCCTTATTGAATCCATTAAAGTATTTTATGTTCCTTATTAAAGGCAGTAAAGTACTAAATACCCAGGTGAGCTGGATATTTAGAGGTTAACTTTCAAGACAGACAAAGAAGACAAAGGGACAGGACCTCTTATGGTACAGCCCAAGGAGTTCTCCTCCCCAAGTCCTGGCCTCAGGACCCACACTTGTCTCACTGGCCCTGA